AGATTCCATCTCTACAAAATTTTCTTTAAATTAGCCAGGTGTGGTGGTACATGCCTGTAGTCCCAGCTACTCAGGAGGCTGAGGCAGAAGAATCCCTTGAGTCCAGGAGGTAGAGGCTGCACTGAGCCATGATCATACCACTGTACTCCAAGCTGGGCAACAGTGCAAGACCCTGTCTCTTAAAAAAGGAAGAAAAAAGGAAATTTGGATTAGGGATGTTCAACCCAGTGAGTATAATCCAAAATTTGGTTAAAAATCTGAAACGCTTCTGGTCCTCAACCATTTCAGATAAGTGATAGTCAATCTTTTAAAGACTCAGTTAGTTATTGGGTATCTGGGGAAACATGCATATCAAGTTCCCAAAAGATTATTGGTTTAGGCACACATTTTAATAGCTTGGAAATCCAGAATACTCTTCTGGTGACCAGCTCAGACATAGTCATGATAATATAGGACCTCACTTAACATGGCTCCCTATTTTCCAGATAAGCGTGGATTCCTGGTTCATTCGTGTTCAGCTTGGCAGTAATCTGATTCGTGTCAGTGCCCACAGTGCTACCACAGGTAAATTGTCGTTTGATAAGGCTGCTATTTCAAATGAAATTTTGCTTTCATATTTAATAAGCCAAATTTGAAAACCTAGATGGTATTTGTCAAAAGGAATATAAAAATTTTATTCAAAGTGATGGTAAAATAGGTGTCTTCAGAAATCTTGGAATTGTATTGAATGCTCAGCATTGTTTTTCATACGTGTAACTGCTTTAAATAAATCAAAGAGATTGTATGTTCTTTCCTGAAAACTAAAATAAACTGTAGACATTTACAATTCTATATATGGTTTCTGAGGAATTAAGGGAAGAATCTTGTGTCTTTCTCCCTTAAACCACAGTCCTTTAGAGGAGGTAGGAAGGGCCCAGCATTAGATAAAACACAGGGGATGGGTGGGTGCTTGGGGGGATTGGTCTTTGCTTGGTCTCCACACGTTTGAGAGTTTATTAAGGCTTACTGCTTAGTGTCTCACAACTTTTTAGCTTCACATTCTTCATGTGATATTTCCTTGTTTTTTGGTATTTGTAGTTGCACCTTCTATAGGAATTACAAGATGAATTAACTCATCAATGGCAGAACCAGTTAAAGAAGAGGCCAAAACTTCAAATCCAACTCCTTCACTAACTTCTGTGGCACCAACATTCACCCCAAATATAACTCAGGGACCCACTGTCAATTCTTCAGACTCTGACAATGGGACCACAAGAACAGCAAGCACGAACTCTATAGGCACTACAATTTCAGCAAATGGAACGTGGCTTCCAGATAACCAGTTCGCGGATGCCAGAACAGAACCCTGGGAGGGAAATTCCAGCACCGCAGCAACCACTCCAGAAACCTTCCCTCCTTCGGGTACTGGAAATGATTCTGTTTGTTCTTTTGCTCTTTGAATTTATTCATCCTTTTATTACCTTGTTCGTGTTTTCTAGCCTTAAAATTTATTCAGATAAGTAAAACTGCTCAAGTGAAGTAGTAAAACCTAGATGTGAAATTTTTAGGAATATCTGGTTAGCATGAATGAAGAGGAAAGAAGAAAGATTCTGGAGAATATTATTCCGCTAGGTGGGATTCTGGTTAGATTGAAAGGATTCAATGTGCTTAAAGGTAGAGAAGAAGGCTAGTAAAAGACAAGAGAAAGAGGAGAGCTCATTGATGATGCAAGAGACTGAAGATGAAAAGATACAGAGACTGAGTAATAAGATTAGGCTTGAAAAAGGAGGGGTCCATGGAGACCATGGAAAGGAGAATGGACATGGATCTCCATGACAATCAGATATGGAGTGGGAGGCCAGTGGCCGGGGTGGCATTAGAAAGAGGGGCTCTGGGAAATGGTTACATTGCAGTGCCAGTTGTTCAGTGCCGCAGGTTGAAGCAGTAGTCCCAAGGATAAAATAAGAGACATGAATCTGAGACCAGGGCAGGTAAAACAAATTTCTGACCTCTTTGAACTTTAGGTACCTTATCTATAAAAGAGGATTCAAGAGTTCCTCAAAGGGCTTCTGTGAAGAGTAAAGGAAATAATCATTACCTGATTGCTATGTAACCATCATCCCTTTCCTACCAAAAATCACTCTTCCCTCTTCTGTGTTCCCCAGCCCCTTGGCTCAGACTTCTTCCCAGTTAGATGGTGAGTGCCGCTAAGGAGAATCACATCTCACTCATGAGGAACATTTAGGAACTGTTTACTCAGTTAATTCTCATTTGTTACTACAGATGACATCTTTTACTCGCCTTATAACTCAGACCCTTCACCTGCCTGCTTTACCCCTATATTTTGTACCATAAAGGCAAGACAGCGGCTGGGTGCGGTGGCTCATGCCTGTAATCCCAGCACTTTGGGAGACCGAGGCAGATGAATCACGAGGTCAGGAGTTCGAGACCAGCCTGACCAACATGGAGAAATCCCGTCTCTACTAAAAATAAAAAATCAGTTGGGTACGGTGGCACATGCCTGTAATCCCAGCTACTCGGGAGGCTGAGGCAGCAGAATTGCTTGAACCCAGGAGGCAGAGGTTGCAGTGAACTGAGATTGCGCCATTGCACTCTAGCCTAGGCAACAAGAGCGAAACTCTGTCTCAAAAAAAAAAAAAGAGAAAAGAAAAGACCGTATTTTCAGTTAAGAGCATGGTCTGCAGTGCCACTGAGTTTGAATCCCAGCTCTGCCATAAACCAGGTATGTTGATGGCAAGACAAGCTTACTTAATCTCTCTACCTCAGTTTGTTCTTCTGTGAAACAAGAATGAGTGATAGTAATAGTTCTTACCTCATAGAGGAGATATTAGGATTAAATGAGTTAATATGGGTAAAGCACTTACAAGCCTGCACATGGTAAGCAGTATTTTTAAGTGTTAGCTGCTATTATTGTGATTATTGCTTTGATAGTTACCAGTAAAATATATGAAGGTACCTTTAATGCGGATGGCATCCCACTATTCTTGATGAGATAGGAGACTGCAGACAAATAATGTCTGATATTTGCTTTGTGCTTTAAAGTTAGTATAGTTTTGTCATGGTTGTTACTGTGCACTAGGCATTGTACTAAGAGTTTTCTAGAATAATCCTATGAGGTAATTTATATTTTGTGTTTTCTAGGTGAAAGTATTTTACAGTGATGAAACTGTAATTTATGGAATTTTTTCAAAGTACAGGTCATGACACAATTCATGAAATCACTTTAATGGGCTACCACTAGTTGTTTTGTTTTATTTTAATGGATGATCCAATTCCATTTTTGTTATTTTAATGTTACATGTACAATTTTTTGAAATTTTAGTAACAACATAAAAGGTCGGGTTGTGGCCATTGCTTAGGGAGAAAGGTAGAATAACTTGTACAAACTGAATGAGGGAATGGAAAAGGTGGAGACTGTAACACAGGACTCACTGACTGGACAGCCCACATTCTATTCTGTACTGTCTTTCATTTAATGGTTCTGTGACATGACCGTGGATAATCATCTCCTTTTAACAGATGCTTAATTTCAGACTGTATATGGAGGTTAAATGATTTGCCTTAGATCTCAAGGCTGACAAGTTAGGCCTATTTCTCACTTCTGTTGTCTTACCACTCTGCTTGTAGAGAACTTCGTTTTCCATAAACTGACTTAGGTCCAAATTATGCCACAGCTAAGAATCTAGTTATTGTACATTTAACACTTTTCCTATTATAAGAGACTGATACTACATTTCTCTAGTGGCCATTATTCAAGATGAATAAAACACAAGAAACTGTTATCACACATGGGAATTTCATAGTCTTAAACCCCACATCCCACTCATCACCACCATTTACCGGTCTTCCTGTAACAGTTACAATTTTTTATTAAAACAGTATTTGATGTTGTATATTATTGCATTATGAAATGTTATTCATTGCTGAGCTATAACTATAAATGGATTGTTTTTCTTTCTTGTACATTTTTTTCTGGATTTAATAATTGCCTTATTTTTTGTTTATTTAGTTTCCTGTTTAGTCAGGCTGGGCACAGTGGCTCACACCTCTAATCCCAGCACTTCGGGAGGCCAAGGTAGACAGATCACTTGAACTCAAGAGTTTGAGACCAGGCTGGGGAACATGATGAAACCCTGTCTCAACAAAAAATATAAAAATTAGCTGGGAATGGGTGCATGTGTCTGTAGTCCCAGCTACTCAGGAGGCTGAGGTGGGAGGATTGCTTAAGCCCAGGAGGTTGAGGCTGCAGTGAGCTGTGTTCATACCACTGCACTCCAGTCTGGGTGACAAAGCAAGACCATGTGTCAAAAGTTATTGCTAGTCAATTCTTACCATGCTCTCCAGAGTCTCTCAATACAGCTTTCTACAGAATGAAATCTATTAGATAATCTTTTCTCTTTTTTTACCTCAAGAAATTCCTCCTGAGTCCTCTGCATTGTCTTATTCCAGTCTAGGCTTGTTGGTGTGTAGGGCCACTACACAGATGTATCAGCCTGGGATTTCCCTTCTCTGTCATTCTGAGAATTCCCTTTGCTGCTGCTTACTGACTTCCATATTATCTTCCTTCTTGTTTCTCTCATCATTCAGTAGATTCCTGAGAAAAGGGGTCCATGGGAGGTAAATTCCATGAGACCTTGTGTGTCTAAAAATATATTTAGGGCTGCGTATAGAATTTGAGGAATATTTTTTCCCCAGAATTTTTAAAGTATTGCCCTAACTGACACCTGCTTACCAGGCTTGGAGGATTTTACTGCTATCTTAATTCCTAATTATTTATATGTTTTTAGGATCTTCTGTTTATCACTGGTATCCTGAAATTTCACAGAGATATATCTTGATGTGGGTCTTTTTAATTCATTATTATGGATACTTGACAGGCCCTTTGGAGCCTTGATCTTGCATTTCTGAAAATTGTCTATTTCTTTGAAACTTTCTCTCCCTCTTCCATTTTCTTTGTTCTCTTCTCAAACTCTAATTATTTGGATATTGGATGTATCCTGAATTCTTTAATCTTTAAAATTTTTCTTTCCTGTTGATCTTTGCTTTGAGTCTTTTTCTCCTTTTAAAAATAAACAAAAGCCAGCTAGGCACGGTGACTGACATCTGTAATTCCAGCACTTTGGGAGGCTGAGGCGGGAGGATTGCTTGAGCCTAGGAGTTTGAGAGCAGCCTAAGCAACATAGCGAGACCTCATCTTTACAAATAATTTAGACATTAGCAGGGCCTAGTGACTCATGCCTGTGGTGCCAGCTACTCAGGGCTGAGGCAGGAGGATCACTTGAGGCCTGGCAGTTGAGGCTGCAGTGAGCCATGATTATGCCACTGCACTCCAGTCTGGGCGACAGACCGAGACCTCATCTCAAAAATAAATAAATAGGCCAGGTGTGGTGGCTCAGTCCTGTAATCCTAGCACTTTGGGAGGCCAAGGCGAGTGGATCGCTTGAGGCCAGGAGCTCGAGACCAACCTAGCCAACATGGCAAAACCCCGTGTCTACCTACTAAAAATACAAAAATTAGTCGAACGCGTTGGCACATACTTGTAATCCCACCTACTTGGGGGGCTGAGACATGAGGATTGCTTGAACCTGAGAGGTAGAGGTTGCAGTGAGTCCCCTGCACTCCAGCCTGGGGAACAGAGTGAGACTCTGTCTTTTAAAAACAAACAAACAAACAAACAAAAAAACAGTGACAAGTAATATAGATAATAAGTATGCCGAGTTCATTTCTGTATATTGCCTTTTCAGTTAGCCTATTGTACTTGTTCTATGTTTTTGTAAAGAGCTGCTGTATTGAAGGATATATCTTAATATATTTATCCAGTTTCCTCTATCAGTGGACATTAAGATTGTTTTAATGATTGTTTGTACTTACAAACAGTACAGTTTGTCATTTCACACATATGAGAATATTAGTAGGATAAATTATTTTAAATGTGCGTTTATAAATGTATGGATATTGCCACATTTCCCTCTGCTGGGAAGTACATTCCTATTAACAATATGTCAAAGTGCCTGTTTTTCTAAGTTCTCTTCAGTGCAGTGAATTATTAAGCTTCTGGATCTCTGCCAATCTGACAGGTGAAAAATAACATCTCAGTGTAACTTTAATTTGCATTTCTCTGAGATTGAGCAACTTTGTGTAATTTGAAAGATCATTTAAATTTATTTTTCTGAGCATTCTCTGTTTATAGTCTTTACCCATTTTTATTAGGGTGTCAAGGTTTCCTGACTCATTTGTTGTAGAAGCTCTTAGTATGTTTGGGAAATGAGCCTTTTGCCTATGGTAAAACTGCAAATATTGTTCCCTAGGTTGTCATCTAGATTTTCTGCATTGCAGAAGATACCATTAGCTATTTTTAATTATTTACATATTCCTCAGTTTAACTTTTCTAGGAATTATGTCATACCTAGGAAGGCTTTCCTTACTCCAAGATTATAAAAATAGTTTTCTTCTGGACATCTGTGGTTTTCTGTGTGTATGTGTGTGTGTGTGTGTGTGTACACGCACATGCTTGGGTCTATCTGGAACTTACTCTGATGCAGAGTGCGAGCTGTGGAACTGTTTTCCCCAAATAGCTAACTTTTCCGAATACCCCATTGAGTTGAAATGCCACCTATCTTATACCTTGAATTTAGATATTTATTTACCTCTTCATATGTATTTGAATACTTGGGAACATTCATTTTATTTTCTATTGATCTTTTTTCTCGGTCGATGTGCAAAGCCCTACTGTCTTAATAATTGTAATTTTGTAAAGTATTTAATATCTGTTAAAATGAGTCATTCCTTGTTAATTTTATTTTTCAGAATTTTGCTAGCAATTCATATCATGAACATTAGAATCAACTTGTCTAGCAGGAAAAGTTTGTATTGATCATGTGAAATATGTAGATTAACAGAGAAAATGGCATCTTAAAGATGTTGAGTCTAACTATCCAAGAATGCAGTATATTCCATTTTCTGAAGTCTTTTTTTTTAATCTTCTGTTTTTATTATTATAAATGGAGCATTTTCTTCCATCATATCTTCTGTCTGCTGTTGGGAATATGAAGTCTACTGATTTTTGTAGAGACATTTTGTACTGGCCACCTTAAACTGTCTTAGTGTTTGAAGTAATTTTCTTCATCAGTTATTAGGGCTTCAAATAATCTCATCTGCAAATATCTTCCAAATTTTTAGAACTTTCTTTTTCCTCTGTTTAATTGCATTGATGAATACCTCCAGAACAAAGTTAAACAGCTGGTAGATTCAGACAGCATTGTTTTATATCTGACGCTAAGGAGGACACTTCCAGTGGTTTTTCATTATACAGGTGCTGACCTTTGAGATAAACATATTTTATTGTGTTCAGGATATAACAATTTATTCCTGTTTTAATGAGCATTTATGTCAGGAATGGGTGTTAAATTTTGCCAGTTGCCTGTTCAGGATCAATGAGCAAGATCTGAATATTTTTTTCTCTTTCGGTCTGTTTCTACGGTGGATTCTATCAGTAGGTTTTTATTTATTTTTTTAGAGACAGGGTCTTGCTCTGAATTAATTTTTTAATCTTCATAATTTTTATTTTTCTGTTGACCTTTGCTTTGCTTTAAGTCTTTTCCTTTGAGTCATCCAGTGCAGTGGCACGATCATGGCTCACTATAACCTTGAACTCCTGGATTTACGCAAATCCCACTTCAGACTTCTGAGTAGCTAAGGGCTTTAGGCACATGTCACCATGCCTAGCTAATTTTTAAATTTTTTCAGAGACAGGGACTCACTCTGTTGCCCAGACTGGTCATGAACTCCTGGCCTCAAGCAATCCTCAGCCTCAGCCTCCCAAAGCATGGGATTACAGGCATAAGCCAAGACCACTCAACCATATTGTATCATTCCTGTAACAAGCTGTTGCAGTCTGTTTGATATTTGATTGATTGATATTTCTTTTTTTGTTGTTTTTCATTTAGAATTTTCTCTGTCTAGATATTAACAAATTATCTCTAAATGAGATTGGTCTGTTTTTCCTTTGTGTGTGTATCCTTTTTGAAAAGTTTTAGTTTTTAGTGTTTTGTTTTGGTACATGGAAAGGATTTGAAAGTTTACACTAAAAACTATGCATTCATTCATTCATTCATTCATTTATTGAGACGGAGTCTGACTCTGTCACCCAGACTGGAGTGCAGTAGCGTGATCTCGGCTCATTGCGGCCTCCACCTCTGGGGTTCAGGTGATCATCTCACTTCAGCATCCCAAGTAGCTGGGATTACAGGCGTGTTCCACAATGTCCAGCTAATTTTTTGTATTTTTTTGTAGAGATGGGGTTTCGCCATGTTGCCCAGGCTGGTCTCAAACTCCTGGGCTCAAGGAATCCTCCTGTCTTGGCTTCCCAAAGTGCTAGGATTATAGGTGTGAGCCACCACATCTGGCTGTTCCATTCATATTTTCGAATGAATGAGAAAATGCTCTGTCTTGTGATTATTTCTTATAATACCTACAGAGCTATTAATTTTTAAATTTTATTTATTTTGTGTCTCCTTTTTTTGTCTAGGTTGACTAACCATTTACTTCGTGGGTTTGTTGCATTGTGCAAAGAACTTGCTATTGTGCATTTATTAGTTCTTTCATTTTTAAGTTTTCTATTTCATTGATTTTTATTTTCTTTCTACCTTCCTTAGATTTATTTTGTGCTTTTTCTATCTTCTTGGATTGAGTGCTTTATTTATTGTCATTCTTTCCAGTTAATTAACATATTAACGGTGTGAATTTTGTACAAGCACAGCTTTAGCCACATCCCATAGGTGTTTCTCTAGGTAGTTGTATTAGGATGTGCCATAAGCTGTGCTGACAAAGATACCAAAATTCAATGACTTAAATAAGACCAACGTGTCTTTCTCTCCCCAGTCACATTCCAGAAGTACACAGGGCCTTTGTCTCAGTAGGGACCAAATTCCTTTACTCTTGTGGCCCTGCCATCCTAACAATATTGCCCTTATCTGTTTGGTTAGAGCTAGTTCTCACCATTGCGTTCTAGTTCCAACCACTGAGAAGGAAGAACAAAGGGAATAGGGGCCATTTTTTCTCCAAAAGATGTGACCTAGAAGTTACTCACATTGCTTTAGCTCACATCCCATTGGCTATGAATTCATCACATGACTACACCTAGCACAAAGGAGTCTCAAATGTACTCTCTGGCAGGAGAGCTTCTTGCTCAACTAAAAAACAAAGGTTCTGTATCAAGGCAAGAAGAGGAAGAGACTGATTTGAGGGGAGGAGAGTTGCCAGATTCTGCCACAAAATTTATTGTTATTTTTAAGGTATTTTTCCATTTTGGGTTGTTTGTTTGTTTTTTGAGATGGAGTCTCACTCTGTCACCCAGGCTGTGCAGTGGTGCGATCTCTAGTCACTGCAACCTCTACCTCCCAGGTTCAAGCGATTCTTATGCCTCAGCCTCCCAAAGTGCTGGGATTAAAGGCGTGAGCCACTGTGCCCGGCCCATTTTGGTTTTGATTTTTTTTTTTTCTTTGAAATAGAGACTCGCTCTGTCACCTAGGCTGGAGTGCAGTGGCACAATCTCAGCTTACTGCAACTTCCTCCTCCTTGGTTCAAGTGATTCTGATGCCTCAGCCTTCTGAGTAGCTAGGATTATAGGTACCCGCCACCATGTCTGGCTAATTTTTTTGTATTTTTAGTAGAGACAGGGTTTCACCATGTTGGCCAGGCTGGTCTCAAACTCCTGGCCTCAGGTGATCCACTGCACCAGCCTCATTTTGGTTTTGATTTTCATTTTCAAGTATTTTCTTACTTTGTTAATTTCTCATTTTATTGCGTTGCGACAAAAGAATATTGTACTGTTTCTACTGTTGAGATTTATAAGGGCTGTGGGTATTCCAATAGTCTTTGAAAAGAAAGTTTTCTCTGTTAGTGTGTAGAGTTTGGGATGTACCAATTAGATTTTATTACTTACCATTTTGGTCTTTTATATCCTTACTTAATTTTTTCCTCTACATTTTATTACTTATCATTTTGGTCTTTTATATCCTTACTTAATTTTGCCCTCTTGAATTTTAGCAGAACAAAAGACATAAAGTCCTCTAATAACGTGTTCTCTTTGCATTCTTGTACTTTTTATAGATATTGATGCTGCACTATTTGTGTATCCAGGGAGAAGGTCAGACCACTGTCCAAAGTTTAGTGAATCCAGGCAGTCTTGTTTCCCAGTTGCTGGAGGATGCCTCATGGAGGAAAGCATCCCTAATCCTGGAGCTTGTTTTGTTGTACTCTAAATTGAATTGTTTTGTGTTTCTTTAACCTGAATGAATGTTTCTATTTTTTATTTATTACACAGGTAATTCTGACTCGAAGGAGAGAAGAGGTGAGCTGCTCACCTTGTATCTGTTGTTCTTTTTACACAGTGTACAGTATTCATCTATTTCCTCTGCTCAGTCTGTGGTAACCACATGCATCTGTAGCTGTGTTGTTTTGTTTTTTTTTTCCTTCCCTTAGTCATTTCCATGTTAACCTCATAGAGAAGAGCAATAGAAACAAGTACTGTATTCAGTATGTTTTTTAGTATAGCCTTTGAATTCTAACAGCTATGATGTATTTTAACAAGTAATAAAATATATCGTACTTTGCCATGTCATGTCATACTTGTTAATATTGCCTTTTGGTGATTAGGTCATAATTTCTATACCATGGATTACTTCTGATTTCTAGGCCACAGTTCCCTTTAAACTTTCTTTGTGTTGTTTTTCCCCTAGTCTATAAAATGTCAACCCTTTGTGGCTTTATATGGATTTTTGGATTTTCAGCCCTTTAATGTAAAGTCTCTGTGGCCTGAGATGTTGTGTCTGTGGTTTAAGCTGGACCGCTGAGTCCCTGGTCACTAGGGAGCAGGAGGACATGGGTACTTATCTGCAGAAGTGTGGCACATTTTGCCTAGAATAAGAGTAAGGCTGCTGTCAAAGAGCATGAGTGAAAGAGAAAGATCATCTAACATTCTAAGACATGATTATTTGAGTTTTAAAAATGTTACTCTTTGAAGCAGAGTTTTTATAATTTTCTATTTTGTGAAATCAGACGTGAGTTTTTTTCTGATTCCATTATTTAACCATACACAATTGTCCCTGTGTAATTAAGTAATGGAACACTTGGAGGCATATGAAGTCCCACTAAGTAGGGAGCATTTGAGTCAGAAAAGTGGGTACTCTGATCCTTTATGTGATATCCATCTGCCATTGTATTTGGTAAGGAATAGTGAGGTGTTACCATATTGTGTATAGATTTCCCTCACTCTTCCTGCTCTCACGTTCCTAAACTTGGGAACTAAACGTTGGATTAATGCAATGTCTTTGCTATTCAGATTCACTTGCCAGATTCTCACTGTCAAATGTAGACTTAAATAAGTTTTATTGTATTTCTTTGCTGCCTAAAACTGTTCTTTTTTTTTTTTTTTTTGAGATGGAATCTCCCTCTGTTGTGTAGGCTGGAGTGCAGTGGCACGATCTCGGCTCACTGCAAGCTCCGCCTCCCGGGTTCATGACCTTCTCCTGCCTCAGCCTCCCGAGTAGCTGGGACTACAGGCACCCGCCACCACGCCCAGCTAATTTTTTGGATTTTTAGTAGAGACAGGGTTTCACTGTGTTAGCCAGGATGGTCTCGATCTCCTGACCTCGTGATCCACCCGTCTGGGCCTCCCAAAGTGCTGGGATTACAGGCGTGAGCCACCGCACCAGGCCAGAACTGCTCTTTTAACCAGTCTTACAATAAAGTCAAAAGGCAAAGTGGTAGGCTTCAAGATAAAACATAAGATCTGTTGACTCCTTCTTCTATTTAGTATATATTTTCTTTTTCTTTTTCTTTTTTTTTTTTGAGACAGAGTCTTGCTCTGTCACCAGATTGGAGTGTGGTGGCACAATCTCGGCTCACTGCAACCTCCGTCTCCCGGATTCAAGCGATTCTCCTGCCTAAGCTTCCCAAGTAGCTGGGACTACAGGTGTGCACCCCCACACCCAGCTAATTTTCTGTATTTTTAGTAGAGATGGGGTTTCACCAGGTTGACCAGGATGGTCTTGATCTCTTGACCTTGTGATCCACCTGCCTCGGCCTCCCAAAATGTTGGAATTACAGGCATGAGCCACCATGCCTGGCCAGAATATATTTTAAAAATAATACTCATGAGAAAATAACCAGTTTCTTGGACTTCAGAAGAGGAAGAAAGGTTGCCCTTCTCATTTTATTCCTTTCTGCTTTGACAATTAAAACATCAGACACTACTCGTCAGAAGCACCCAAAGACCAATGCATAAAAACTTGTAGCCCTTAATTCATCCCCATAAGACATACTGCTTATCAAACCCATTATAATATAAAGATTTTCAAACAGCTTGCTTATTTCTCAAAAAGCATTTGGCTTTAAAATTAGAATATGATATCCAAATTTACAGCAATACTTCTAACAATCTGGTCAGGTAAAATTGCCATTAGATTTTGGGACTTTAGAGACTGCTGAGAATACCTATGCCCTGTCAGTTTCCTGTTTGGAATTATACAAAATTATTTTTTGACTTAAAAAGGGAGATTTATTACATTAATAGATTTTACATATGTCACAATTAGCAATAATCTAGGTAATTAAGGTATTTTTTTTTTAATCACAACATGGAAACTACTTAAATATTAGGTAGGTAAAATAGGTATGATATCTGGGGCAAAAAGAGGCTGAATATCATGAAAATATATACTAAGGCCGGGCGTGGAGTCCCATGCCTGTAATCCCAGCACTTTGGGAGGCTGAGGCAGTGGATCACCTGAGGTCAAGAGTTCGAGACCAGCCTGACCAACATGGAGAAACACAATCTCTACTAAAAATACAAAAATTAGCTGGACGTGGTGGTGGGTGCCTGTAATCCCAGCTACTCAGGAGACTGAGGCAGGAGAATGGCTTGAACCCGGGAGGCTTAGGTTGCAGAGGTTGCAGAGAGCTGAAATTGCACTACTGCACTCCAGCCTTGGCAAAAAAAAAAAAAAAAAAATTCCAAAAACTCAAAGAGGGTTCCACAAAGATGACTAGCAGGTGGCAAGAATCACTGAGGATAATTGACTATCTTGGGGCACTATGCAAGAGACAACTCCAAGATGATGCTGGAGGCTGGTTACCACAAACTGTATTCCATAATTACCTAATCTGATGGAGTTCTCTAGATTTCATAAGCAGGTTCAATAAAAGACAGAAGTAGCCTTCCACAGCTCTGGGTCTATGATGTCCTCCCCATAGCGGCTAATCCCTGCAAAAGGAAAATGCCACATCCTCATCATTCCAGACAGGCTCCCCAAAATGAGGCTCATTGGCCTGGCTTGGGTCCAGTAAACAACGATGAACCCATTTATTGTGACAGGGTGGGTTAATTCCATCTGAAGTGCATGGATGGAGTGTCAGGGATCCACCAGCAGTGACTCAGGGGCAATTCACTCTGGCTGGTTCTGGTACTGACTCTGTTTCTCCAAAAAGAAGAGACGCAGAGGAAATGAGAGAAAAGGTGGCAAGTGCCCTCTACTGCCCCAGTGGAAAAAACTGCCCACTCTGCCCATATCTAAGCTTTTTCTTAGCTGGAGTAACCTCACATCCTGTATCTACTTGTCTTTTCTTCAGTGAACATTATGTTATTATCTGAATATATTGCAAATATAGATATATCACTAGACCAAAGATTTATAAGATCTGGAGGCTGAAAACTATGAAACATTGTTAAGAGAAACCACAGGGCCGGGCACGGTGGCGTGCACTGTAATTCCAGTTACTCGGGAGGCTGAGGCACAAGAATTGCTTGAACCCAGGAATTGGAGGTTGCAGCTAGTCAGGATTGTGCCACTGCACTCCAGTCTAAACAACAAGCCACAGGAATAATGGCTCACACCTGTAATCCCAGTTACTCAGAAGCCCAGTCAGAAAGGTCGATTGATGCCAGGAGTTCAAGACCAGCATAGCCAACATAGCAAGACCCTGGCTCTAAAAAAGTAAATAAATTAGCTGGGCATGGTGACATGCACCTGTAATCCCAACTACTTGGGAGACTGAGGTGGGAAGATCACTTGAACCCTGGAGTTCATGACGACAGCAAGCTGTGATTGTGCCACTGTACTCAAGCCTGGGGAAGAGAAAGAGACCCCATCTCTAGAACAGTAAAAATAGGCCAAGCATGGTGGCTCACACCTGTAATCCGAGCGCTTTGGGAATCCAACGTGGGAAGATCACTTGACCCCAGGAGTTCGAGACCAGCCTGAGCAAAATAGCAAGACCTCTTCTCTAAAAAAAAAAAAAAAAAAAAATTAGCTGGTGTGGTGGTGCTTGCCTGTAACCCTAGCTAGTTGGGAGACTGAGGCAGGAGGATCACTTGAACCCAGGAGTTTGAGTTTACATCGCACTATGGCACTCCAGCCTGGGCAGCAGAGCAAGACCTTGTCTCTAATAAAATAAAAAGAAAATCTAAAAAGAAAAACCTAAATAAATACAGAGATATCCTATGTTTATAGACTGGTAAACAGAATATTGTTAAGATGTCAGTTATCCCCACATTGATCTGTAAATTCAATGCAATCCAAATCAAATCCCAGAAGACTAGATTTTTTTGTCCAAATTGATGAGGGGATTATAGAATTCCTATGGAAATGCAAAATACCTAGAATAGCCAAAACAACATTGAAAAACAAGGACAAGGTAAAGAACTCATATTACTTCATAAAGCTATAGTAATGAAGACAGTGTCTTATTAGCAAAAAGGTAGACAAATAGATTAGTGAGAGAAAACAGAAAGCAGAAGCAGACCCAGATATATATGGCCAGTGTGCTTTCAACAGAAGAACAAAAGTGATTGCATAAGCAAGGATTACTTTTTCAACAAATGGTGCTAGAACAATTGCATATGCATATATTAAAAAAAATTAATCCATATCTCACACAATATGTAAATATTAACTCAAAATAGATCATAGCCATAAATATAAATCCTAAAACTATAAATCTTCTAGGAGAATACATAAAAGAAAATCTTTGAAACTTTGAGTTAGTCAAAGCTTTTTTAGAATAACAAAAGCACAATTTACTTTTAAAAATTGTTAAGTTGGCCAGGCACGGTGGCTCACACCTGTTATCCCAGCACTTTGGGAGGCCGAGGCTGGCAGATCACAAGGTCAGGAGATCAAGACTATCCTGGCTAACATGGTGAAACCCTGTCTCTACTAAAAATATAAAAAATTAGCTGGGCATAGTGGCACGTGCCTGTAGTCCCAGCTACTCAGGAGGCTGAGACAGGAGAATCGCTTGAACTCGGGAGGTGGAGGTTGCAGTGAGCCAAGATCACGCCACTGCATTCCAACCTGGGCAACAGATCAAGACTCTGTCTCAAAAAAAAAAAAGTATTAAGTTAGACTTCATCAAATTAAAAACTTCTGCTCTTCAAACATGTTAAGAGAATGAAAAGACAAGCCACAGCTGGAAGAAAATATTTGCAAATTACATATCGGATAAAAGACTTACCCGAATTATAAAAAGAACTCTTTCAAAACCCAATAAGAAGAATATAAACAACCATTTTTTAAAAGTCACAAAAGCATTGAACAGACCAATGAAAATATTTAGATGGCAAAAAAAGCTGTGAAAAGATGTTCAACATTATTACTCATTAGGAATATGCAAATTAAAACCACAGTAAGATACCAGTACATACCATTAAAATGACTAAAATTAAAAGAACTGACTGTACCCATTGCTGATGAGGGTATGGAACAACTGCAACTCTCCAGCCCTGCTCATGAGAATGTAAAAGGGCACAACCACTTTAGAAAATAGTTTGGCAGTTTCTTAATGAGTTGCACAA